TATATTATACAGCAACTTTGGTCCGGCAGTGGTAACGTGAGAAAATACACATGGTCAAATAGGTATATCAAGTCAAGATACAAGTAAATGGCACTGAAAGTGAGTAGATGAGTAGATATAAGCAATATAGAAAAAATATGATAACATGAGTGGCATGACAATGACTGTAGAGGATGAATCTATGGAAATATATCTAAACGACCCATTAAAGAACAACCTATAGGGACAGGGGTCTTCACTGCTTGATATATTATTTAAATGAACAGTTCAAACATACATGATATAAGAAGAACAAGGGATGCCAACAAGGTGAAAAGAGGAAAGAGCAAGAGAGAAAGAAGATTAACAGAGCGCGATAGAAATAGGAAAACAGTGAGTAGGAGAATGTAAGTGAGAGAGGGGACCCTGGGGGGGTTGAGTCCATGAACATAGAGCCTACATAGTAAATAAAGGAATATCACACCTATGGAGGATGTGTAGGTTTAGATAAAGGAGTTGACCTCTAGGGAAGCGGAGAACTGCAGCCAAACACTCCTAGGGACAAAAAGTGAAGTAGTAGATGGCCCAGTCTGAGTCCGTCAACTCCCTATTAAGATCATCAAGACATTTGCCCTGGAAACTCAACGGTATCTGATGAAGAGCGTCAAGCATCATCCCATAAATGACCGATATCGTGTGGCGAGTCGGCTACCGTGAAATAACCATGCGTTCAAAGTGAGTTAACGGTCTGTGGGTTTGTCCATAGGGTTATAGAGAGAAACAAAAGCCAGACAGTTGCAGGTCTAGAAGCCAATTAGCGATAAGACCTGACGAGCTATCAACCGACACAACAAACCGTCCAGTAGAAGGATGAATTAAGTCTCTTCTCTTGTATCCCCCAACAGAAGGGATAGCAATACTAACGGGAAACAAGGAGTTGTCAAATAGGGGAGAGAGTGGGCTAGACAAAGTGGAGAGAGAATGTACGAGATACATTTCGTGCCACGTCCTCATAGCGGCAATTGTGAGGGGAGAAGGTTGAAGGGACACAGCGGAGTCAAGGGGAGGGGTCCAGGGTAGGGCTCTAAGGTGCACTGGGCATAGATTCTGTTCAATAAGCACTGAAGGTTTGGACTGCAGAGAGGAGGATGGAAACCAATCTAAAATTCTGGCTAGAAGTACGGCCCGGTGGTACATCTAAAAATTGGTCAGGCCCATCCCACCTCGTGATTTGTGTCTACATGGAGTCTTGTAGTGTATACGGGAATAACCCTTTTTCCAGATGACGCAAATTACCAAGGAGCGCAAAGTGTTGAAAATTTTTTTCGGGGGCTGATGGGGATAGTTTGAAAAAAGGGTAACAGTTTAGGAAGCGTCTCCATTTTTAAGCTTATTATTTTGCCGAACCAAGATATGGCTGTGGGACAGTAAGACTAAAAGCCCAGCGCAGAGAACTGAGGAGGGGTAGGTAATTCAATGTGAAAAGATCTGACAAGCTGGATGGGATTGCAGTGCCCAGGTAGGTAAGAGACCAGGATTGCCACTGGAAGGGGAAGTTACTTCATAAAAGGGCAAGAGTGGGAGGAGCCAGAGTTAGATTCAAGGCTGTCGATTTAGACATATTAACTTTAAAATTACTGAAGCTACCAAATCTGTTAAATTCCAGTAACAATGCTGGGACACTAATGTGGGGACGGTTAAGATATAAAAGCAAGTCATCTGCGAATAAAGACATCTTATGATGAAAGGAGGGAGTGTGAATGCCGTGAATGTCTGGGTTCGAGCGTATGGCCTGCGCTAGGTGTTCCATAACAATGACATAAAAAGGGAGGAGAGGGGGCATCCCTGCCTAGTGCCATTGGGAATAGCAACGTGGAGGAATCTCCAATCTACCCCATCAAAGGCCTTCTCAGCATCAACAGATAGTAAGCAGGCCTTGGTGTTATGTTTATGGATATGAGAGATCAAGTGAAACGTTTTAGTGGTATTGTCCCTAGCCTCCTTCCCGGGAACTAATCCAACTTGCTCTGGGCTGATGATGGACGGCAGAGAAGGGGAAAGACGAAGCGCTAGGAGTTTTGAGAAAAGTTTAATATTAAGCAACGAAATTGGTCTATAATTCTGACAAACAGAGGCGCCTTTGCCGGGCTTAGGAATAGCGCATATGTTCGTCTCCAGCATGGTGGAGGGAAAAGGGTGAGTGGCGTCCACCGAATACTAGTATAAAACTTTTAATATGTAATCTAAATACACTAGTTTCAATTTAAATATAAATATCTTGTAACTTTAATACATTCACTTTCTATGCTAACTGACACTTTGGCTAAGGCTTGACTTATACATACTGTAAATGGTTAGGCCATCATCTTAGTGTGACTTTTCCTCTTTTTTTTGTTTTCAAGAAGCCAAAAGAAAGTCACAGTGGCAAAGTTTGCAAAAGGTAACAATCCACTTTTACTTTTTTATTGTACATTTTTTTCGTAGCTATCTTTTTAACAGCTTAACATTAATCTATTTTATGACAGTTAAAGTGACACTAAACTCTGGAGTTAAATCTTAAAAATGCATTCACGTACCTTTTAACTATTAACAAGAATGTCTCTTATTTGTGTATCACTCAGCTGTAGATCCTCAAATCATCTCTGAATTGGTTCTGACACTGTGCTTCCTTCTGGAGGGTGGCTACATTTGTTCCCCATGGTCCCTGTGTGTGTTGTAAAGTAGTCACCCCTCCAAGCTTGCTCCCGTGATAGACTACAATCTCATGTTTAGTTTACTAGTTTGTATTGAGGTCGTCACTTTAAAATTGATATATATTTTGTGCTGACTTGATCTTATGTATTAAATGGTAACGCCTTAATTTAAAAGTATTTAATAAATATCAGTTAGTTTGTATATTCAAAATGAACAATTATATTTAGTTTTGGGATTTATTATTTTGTGATAGAATTGTGTATACTCCTCTGTATAGCATATCTTTTATTTATTTTTCCCCGGACATGCAGGCCATGCATTCTAATCTTTGATTCTTTGACAACTGGATCAGTGAGAACTACTGTACAAGTCTTAAGAGAGTAAGTGGATTTACTTTCTAACATAGAAATATTCAGAACAGATATTAGTAACGCATATATCTTATATTTGTATACTATACTTTTTGTTTATGTGACCGCATTGATTAGAGATTGTTTCAGCTTTTGTATAGAAAAACAAGGTACCCTTCCATTGATGTTGCAGAGACCCAAACAGTCTGGATGCATAAGAAGCATAGTTTTTGCCCATAACTAAAATATATATTTTTTATAGATATCCATTTATTGCATTTTTGCTGGTAAAGAGTTAAAGCTGCAAAACCTGAAGTATAGAAAATTCTTGTTCTTAGAATCAGATGAACATTTGTTAAATCACTTTGTCATCTTAGGGCCTGATTTACACATAAGCGACAGCGTTTTCTTGTTTAGGAAAACACATTTTTGCTGCATGATTTTGTGCCTTTTTTGAGCAGATTGTGACAATTGATGTAAATGGGCAATACACACGCAAAAATAATTGCAACAAGCATTTCCAATCATTTCCTCTTGACTCTATGGGGACAAAACGAGCTGTAATCTACCAAAAAGAAGCTCATGTACTTTTTCCAGCGACAGGCGTTTTGATTATTGCAACAAAATGCTCAGGTGTGAAGAGGGGCCATACGAATGAATGGGATTTTTTTGCTGAAGCTTTTTGTCGCGCTGAATCAGCTGAGACAATACGCTCAGTGTGAGTCAGGCCTTACAATAACAGTTCTTTTTTTGTTGTTGATCTTTTTGATATTGTGGTGCAGTAGTTAAGATTGCTGCCTTGCAGCTCCTTGGCTGAAATCCCATTTGGACCCTATATACATTGCATGTGCAGAAAGACATGGGGAACATTATTTGGTGACTAATTGATTGTAGCGAGTGTGGTTGCTTTTAGTTGCGTTCCTGCATTGTAGACTTTCACAGTGACAAGACCTGATATGTGCGTGATATATATATATATATATATTTCTGTTAATTGCCTTCATAATTTCTTTATCTTTTGATAGATATTTGAAGGTAGAGTGTCATGTGAAACGGCAATCAGAAAGGGAATTCAGCAGGTCCTCTATGAGAGAACTTTATCCTAAAGTACCGAAGCAGAATAACAGTACCGACTGTGGCTTGTACCTCTTGCAATATGTAGAAAGCTTCTCTCAGGTAGGTTTAAACATAGTAATAATTATGTAGATGCTTCTTTACCTTTTTTTGTTTTCTTGTTCCTTTTTTTCCCCAATCTTTTATCTACTCCCTGTGACCTTCCTTTTGTTCTTACACTCCTTTTCTTGGACAAATTAAATGTCTCTGGACATTAACTGTGTGCTTGACTTCTGTCATGGCTGGTACAGAAAGCTGCACTGCCCTTTCAAATTTGTGGCTTGTTTTTTTTACACTTCCCAGAAGACTTATTTTTGTTAAATTTACCCTTTATTATAGCTGTATTTAACATATTCGTATTTCTCTAATTTCCTTTTTTATCCTTCTTTCTTTGGTTCACTACCTGCCTCTGTCAGTTAGATTACTATTGTATCAATTTCAGATCAGTGTTTCAAATGAAATGCAAATGAAAAAAGAGGTTAATCCAGAAAGTATAGGAATAAAAAAAAAAAAACTGCAGATAATTAAAGAGAAATGAAAAGTTCATTAGGGGTTAGTGTTTAACATGTTGGGATAATTTTAAAAAGTAGAGGAAGGGAATGGTAATGCTTATAGTTTTCAAAGTGACTCCAACTGTCATTGAGTAGGTATTCATTCAAAATTATACATTTTATTTTTACTAGTATTTGTCTTTAATGTCAGGCTTCTGCCATCCTTTTTACAGCACACAGTGTTGTAATTAACCTTTCCTGAATCTGGGTACAGGAGGAGAGACCAGACCGAAAGAATTAGAAATATTATGGCATGTAGGAAAGATCACATGTGTATTTAGCTGATCCCGGAGTTCTGATTTCATGCAGTTTTTTATTTACTCATTTCCTGATTTGTCATAGTAGTAAATAAATATTCTGCATTTCCAACGGTCTGTTTAATCACACTTGTCTTGTAGAAACCAATCGAAAACTTTGAACCTCCGATGCATTTGGAAAACTGGTTTCCCTCCTGTGTAGTAAAGAATAAGCGAGAGGAGATCAGAGACTTAATTCTTCGGCTACATGTAGAGCAGAAAAAGAAAGGTTAAGAAAACTTCCATCAGTCTTCTTCTACAACTGAATTTACATAAATGACTGTTTTTCTAGAAAATGAAGACTATACAAAGATGTTCTGAAACATGTTGCCATTATTTATAGTATATATTTAAATTAATAAAAATGTAATGTAAATATTAACATTTAGTTTGTAAATAAACTGCAAATATTTTTACTTTTTTGTATATTCTATTGCTACTTCAATTGTAAATATATAAAGGATTTACCAACTGATTCTTTGAGTAGTGTTTTTTTATAACTTTTTTTTTGATTGACTGTTTTAAACATTTCAAATGCATTTAATACGCTAAATTACATTTAATATTTTTTAGAAGAAGCTTAAAATGAGCACACATTTTTGTGAAAAGGGCTTGTCATTTTAACACGTATGATTAAAACACTTTTTTAGTTATACAAAGTTGATTTCAATGCACCGCCACTCCTCCCACCCCAGAACCCAGAATGCAGTTGGCCGGGATGCGACCCAGTGCGTTTCAGCACCGAATCTGGCCGGAACGCACTGGGGCTGCTGTGAACTATTGCGCTTTCAGAAAATATATGGTTTGGGGGGTCTTTTACAAACGCTAGCAACGCAGCAGTTGAAAATCAAACCAATAGGAAAAAATTGCAGAAAATTCAAAAATGGCTTGGCCAGCTGATTTGAAAAATGTTCCGGAGGGCTTGGCAGCGAAAGGGTTAAGGTAGCTTTTAGCATCATCACTCCAAAAAAGGTGGCTATTTCAGCCCTTCAGTTTACTGGCAGACAAGTCAGCAAGGGGCTCCTGTACAGAAATATTTTTTCCCAAATTGGCAAGTAACAGATGCATTATAGCTCATGGAAATGTGAGATAAAATGATGATCATTAAGAAAATAACCCATTTCATTCAAAAAGTTCACATCAAAATGATATTTATATGGTTTGAACATTTTTTTTTTTTAAATCAACATGAGGTAAAATTGCAAATGGAGTTTAAGATAACTCATCCACCTTAGGGCCTATTGACACCACAACTCTCTTTGCTGCAATGGATGCTTTTCTGTGCATTGGGGTGCATTGACTTGCAACACATGAAAAACTAGGGCTTCCTGCACTTTTTTTTCTTTTTCACTCACCTCATAGTTCTCCTTTAAGTCCCCTCTGACAGAGCGCAGCGTCCAGCGGAGAGGAGAGAAACTGTCACAGGAGGCCGAACGGTGACGGGGAGGAGAGCGATGTGAGTGGCTGGCATCTCTCCTCCCACACCGCCCTCTTGTGACAGATTAGGAGAGTGGTGTGTGGGCGGTGACAGCTGTGAATGAATGGGAAGTGATCTACATCACTTCCTGTTCATACATGATTGTGGACATGGTACACATACTAACTCCACAATTTATAAATGAACAGCAACACTCAGTATAGAGGCTTCCTGTTAATTTATAGCAGGGGCTGCCGAAAAGAGATTGAGGATTCTGTGTCCTCAATCTCTCTATTTTAAAAGGGAAATATCGGGTCTGTTTAGAACCCTAATATGTCCTCGAAGCCCCCAACAGTAAAGTTAAAAAAATTAAATTTTTTAATAAAAATTAAATGTTTTAAAAAATTTTTTAAAGGTTAGAAAAAAAAACCCATTCGGTTTTGGCCTGACATTTTTTTATTTTCGGTTTTAAAGAATTGCTTTTTGGTGCACCTCTAGTTATTATCACACATTTTTCAATGGTGACTGTAGTATTGGTGATACACTGTTTACTCTAAGGGCACTGAACATTGTTCATCTTTTTTTCCCAACTATATAACTAGGACTCTTTTCTCCCTTTTTAACTCTTTACTTTGTCCCCCACTGCCTCCACTCAATAACTCATTAACTACCATGGACATTGCCCCTGTCCACTTATCTCCCCCAATTAACATACCATGTCTACTACCACATTCCATACTTTCCTTTTTTGACCCTGTCACTACAGAGGAAAACGCTAAAGTTTTCTCTGCCACCTGCTTCGCCATCTGCCCCCGCACCTTATTGCCACATGACTACTCTGGTCACCCCCTTGTTCTGTTTTACACACTTTTATGCTACCCTTACACTGTAATAATTTTTTCGTTCAACCCGTGGGTTGAATGAAGAAAATATATCAGATTCCTCCATCGATGCTTACGAGCGTTGATCAAGGAATCTCTCACTGTCTTCATTGTATTGTGACATCAGCCGCCGGTCACTCCCATACGTAAAATACCCCATTTCCTTGCACCCGTTTACCTACAAACTCCTAGAATGCCTAGTCTATAACTGTGAGCTGCTACCTCACTGATAACAACCTTCTTGACCCCTTACAGTCTAGCTTTTGCCCACAACACTCCACTCAAACTTCCCTCCTAAAACTCACAAATGACTTACTAACTGCTAAAACAACATAGCCACTGCTCAGTACTTTTTACTAATAGCGCTTTGTGCTGCATTTGACAAAGTTGGCCGCTCGATTCTCCTCAAAAAACTTCACTCCCTTACCCTCCAAGACTCTGCTCTTTCCTGGTTCTCCTACCTATCTGAGCACTCTTTCAGTGCCACCTACAACTCTACCTCCTCTTTCCCTTTTTATGGGGGTCCTGGGATTTTTAAAAAATTCTATCTACACCTTTTGCCTTGGTCAATTGATAACCTTACTTGGCTTCCAATACCATCTTTAAACTGATGACACGCAAATCTATCTCTCCACTTTACAGCTCACCCCTTCAGTGTCCTCGCACATTACTAATTTACTAACTGACATACCAGCATGGATGTGACACCACTTCCAAAAACTCAGCACATGATATATCCAGGAAGAACAGTAGCACAACTATTCTTCCCTCCCCTCAAGTCAGGGTGCTAGGTGTAATCCTGGACTTTGACCTCTTCTTTCAGGCTCACATCCAATCGCTGTCCAAATCTTGCAGCCTTCTCCTACATAAAAAAATTACACCACTAAGCTACTAATTCACCCACTTGCTATCTCTCACCTCAACTATAGCAACTCCCTGTTCATCGGTCTACCTCTACACAGGCTATCTCTGCCTCAGTATATCATAATTGCTGCTGCCAAACTCATCCACCTTACAAACTGCTCAGTGTCTACAACCCCTGTCTACGTATCCATCCACTGACTTCTGATCACCCAAAGAATAAAATACTGACAACAATATTAGGGCTGGTATGGAGATCCGGTGACGTCACGGACATCGACGTCACCGGATCTCCGACGGAAGACCCGGAAGCCGGCGGAGAGGTGAGTACGGATCAAAAGAACTTTGATCGATCAAAAAAATTAACGATTAATCGAGGGATTAATCGTTAATTTCCGCAGCCCTAAACAATAAACAAGCCATCTACAACTCTGCCCCCAGCTATATTGTCAACCTCATCTCAAAATATCACCCAAACCGTTCTCTCTGCTCTTCCCAAAACCTCCTGCTCTCTAGTTCCCTTGTCAACTTCTCCAAGCTCACCTCCAGAGCCTATCCAGTCCTCTGGAAGCTCTACCCTAATCTGTCCAGCTATCTCCTACTCTGTCTACCTTTAGACTATCCTTGGAAACTCATCTCTTCAGGGAAGCCTATCCACCTCTACCTAACCACTGAAATTTTACTTTCTTAAAGAACTCCCCACACAGCTACCACCTTTTTATCCCTTCCCTTTTCACTGCCCTCCTAACCCTCTTGTATTGAATTGTATTGTAGCTGCACATTGTTGCACAAACTGTTGGCCTTATATAAAATCTGTAAAATTATAATAACAGCAAGTTCAAAGGCATATTGCAAGTGAATAACAATCATTTATGGAAAGGAAAACAGCTGCACGTAAGCATTTAAAATATTTTTTTTTCTGCCTTCCATTTTTTTAAATTGGTGGCAGGTTTTGTTTAAAAAAAAAAAATATTATTCATATATTTTTGGTGCCTATGGAACTTCGTAGAAGACAACACTGGCTAGCGGTACTCAGGGGAATACATTATCAGCTGACCTGGGTAATTTTGATTAATAGATTACTATCTCTGAATAAAGGAATGGTGAGTGATATGAAATCCTTTGATATTCTCAAAGATTTATATTATACAAGTGTCTATGTTGCTGCCTATATTTTGCAAATCTGATGATGACATAACAGAAAAAAAAAACAGCTTTGATTATTTACAAGTGTCTGACCACTGGCTAATGCTTATTGGCAGCTTTAGCATTTATTTGTACTTGTTGTCATCTGGAAATTGCTATGGCACAAACTGCTGCAACACTGAATGAATGATAAATATGTTTAATTAGGTGTAAAATGCTCTGCCTATCAATGGGCTGTCTCTTCACAACTTGACAGGCTCTGCTAAAGAGCTTACCAGCACAGATTAAATCCTCTCCCATCTGTTAACTGGAGGAGCTGTCACTCGCCATTTGGATCCCTGTCTAAACTAAGTTGGAAGACTTTTATTTTTCATCTTGCAGATTAATTTCTATGTTCTTACATCCTTGACTTCTATGCAATTTTACCTTCATGGTAAAATAACAATACATTTATTGTTTTCTTTTCTTCAGTAGTTATAGTAAGAAGAATGCTTCATTTTTTTTGGAAAATAGTTTTGGGATTTTTCTCAGTGATGATATTGAAAGGAGAGCTGCAAGCTCAAATAAGTGGAAAGATAAAATATTTTAAATTCATCATGGCATATGAATATGTAATATGATACCACATATAAAAATATATATATATTGGCTACTTTTTATATGTGGTATCATATTACATATTCATATGCCATGATGAATTGAATATATATTTTATCTTTCCACTTATTTGTCAACAAATGTCTACTATAAAGATTTCTCAGAAATGGTAATCAAGTAATTTAAATGTAACTGGTCTTACCACTGTCAATGGCTATAACAGTACTTATAGCCTATATTATTTTATGTTAACTTATTATGTAAACTGCCTGTATAAATCCCCTTTTAGTGAAGTCCTGTTAGTATTTATGATTAGCACAGTGCTTTTTAGTAATGAACAAACAACTGATTTCCAAATTGTATCATGTTCATTTCTTTATTACTTATGTGAGCTTTACTTTCCAAAGTAGTTAGCCATTAAAGTACAAAGTATTGACGTGTTGATTGACAAATATATTTAAAATACTGAAACATTTGTTACATTTTGAAGGTTTGTTTATTTTTGTCAAGGAATGAATTATGGATATAATAGGAAATTAAAACATTTCTGTCACCAGCATGATAATTGATATAACTGTTTAAAAGGGTCTTTTCAAGCAGTAAAACGGAGAGATGCCTCCTCTTTCCATTATTCTCTTATGAATAGTACTGGACTACTTCTGCAGTAAGAAAGCTAGCGAGACAAAATACTTTTGTTGGTTCTTGCAAGAGGTTTGTGCATTTGTGTGTAGAGGGATACTATACCGTATGGTCAATTTGCATGGGATTTTTAATAACACAACACTCATAAACTGCAAGCTCATAGGTGAAAAATGTGTGCAGTTGATTGCTACTATCTGAAGTTTTGCCTTTTTAAATTGGAAGATTCTAGTGAGCCATTATCTAATTCTAAAAGTGGCTTTTGTAAAAGGAAATTTAACAAAATTAATGAATAAATGTTAAAAACCCTACTAGAATTTCTCATTTTAAATTTACAGTAGTACGATAGGTTGTATTGTATGGAGTTGATTTACTAAAGGCAAATAGGCTGTTTACTTTGCAAGGGATGTTTCCCCATAGCTTAATGAATGAGGTGAAGCTCTGCTGACTTTTCATCACCCAATCATGGGAAAGGAAAGATACTGTTGCTGCAGTCTCAACAGGTCACCGACACACACACATATGATGTCACTATGTCGCTCTGGTGAAGGCTCCCTGCGAGGTCCCGAAATGCTAGCTTCAGCTTCTAATGACATGTGGTTACATTCTTCAATAAACATATCTAAGAGATATTGAATTTATCTGTGTGTGTGTCGGTGACCTGTTGAGACTAGTCTGAGCTTTGCACGGCGCCATCCGTGTGATCACCATGAGCACCACCACCATTGGAAGGTTGCAGACCGTAAGGAGTGCAGGTGGTTTTTGGAAACAGTTGCAATCTGAGTAGGGTTGAACTAGATAGACATGTGTCTTTATTCAGCCTTTCCAATTATGTGACTATATAACTGTATTTTTTATTTACCTTGCACGTGATTGGGTATTCCTTGCAAACTTAAATTTCACCACACTCGCCAAACTAAGGAGAAACCTCATTTGCAAAGTGCAAATACTCTTGCAAAGTAAACAGCCTATTTGCCTTTAGTAAATCAGCTCCCATATCCTCCTATATGTCAATTATCTCTGTTTCTGTATAGGTAAAAAATCTTTCACTCACATAGTTGTAAATCTTCTCAATATTAGTAGCTCTTTCACACAGTGCATATAGTGTTTTAGTTTTTTTAAATAGTGGTCTTTTGAATGGCAGCAATGAAGAACAGAACACAATAATAATACTACTCAGCCAAGTGGAACATAAGAAACATTCTTATGCTGTTAATTAAAACTTGGCATTCTGTGTCAATACAGAGGAAGGCAGCAGAAAATGCTGACCTTTTAGCCCTTTTTCATACAGCCTGTAATAGATGGGGCAAAGCGTTATATTCAGAAATTCCTGACTCAGGCTTTTCTATCAATAGACCATTTTCTATAATACACAGTGAAAGAGGGTCCTGTCATTTATTCAGCAGGAATGAATATGATTATACTCAAATGGTAGACATGTGCACTGAGAAAAAAATTTTGGTTCGGATTTTTCGTTATTTTGTTTTTCGGGATTCAGGTACGAAAGTCAATTCGATTCGGGATTCAGATTAATTAAACATTTTCATTAATTTCGGATGTTAAATTATATTTACAAACAAATTTTTGTTAAAGTGACATTAGAAAAAAAAGTGACATTTTTATTTTTTAACTTTTGACAGTCCACAGAAACAATAAAAAAGAAAGCATGGGGTCCCCCCTAAAATTCCTACCAGACCTAAAGGATCTGGTAGGAATATTAGGGGGGGACACCAGTGCCAAAAAGACAAAAAAAAAAGCATAAGATCCCCCTAAAATCCCTTTCCAGACCCTTGATCCGAGCAGCAGCCTGGCAGAGCAGGAAAAGTGGGGGGACGAGCATGCGGCCCCCACATGCCCTCGACATGGGGAGGGTGCTTTGTCAGGAGGGGACCTCCTGGAAAAGCATTTTGTCCCCATGTCGACTAGGGTCTGTGGTGGCCTTTTCTTAAAGGGGCACCCAGATGCCCCCCCCCTCGTGAATGAGTAAGGTGTAGTTGTTACCTCTATTTATTCATCAAATAAAAAGTAACATTGTAAATAAACCCACCACACTGTATACAAAGTACTTTATTTGAAAAAAGAAAAACAACACTGGTTTTTGACAATTCCTTTATTTAAAAAACAAAAACAAAAAGTGTCCATTGATGTAATCCACACGTCAATCACATCGTTCCCGATGAACTCTCGGCGCAAAATTACAGCTCTGACCCGAATGTCAACAAAGGGGTGGAGTGAGGTGTGACATCATTGGACTTGTTCTGCCCATTTGTTGACATTCTGGAGCAGAGCTGTCCATGATAGTAGCTCTGATCCCGAGTGCTATTCGGGACTCCTGAATGCTATTATGATAGCCCTTCTCCCGAATAGCATTAGGGAGCTCTGCTCCCGAATGTCAACAAATGGGTGTCCCATGATGTCATGTCTTGCTCCACCCCTTTGACATTGGAGAATACAGTACAGCATTAATGTCTTTTTTTATCTGCTTTCTGTTCAGCCTAGTCATAGCGATTTCCCTCTTCCTTGCTAACCAATAACCAAAGACTGTCAGGAGGTGCAGAAATACTAACTTTTCAAGAGCTTCTGTGTGCCTACCAACGGATCACTGCTTCTAGGCCTGAGCCACAAATGGAAGATAAGACAGAGGCAGCCAATCAGTGCCTATGTTTGCACAAAGATCCCAGTTTTAGCTCAAACCCAGACGCAGCAATCCACTGGTAAACAGGATCAAAGCTCCTAAAATATATTTCTGCAGCTCCCAGGGCTGTTAGTGCTAGCTTACGTTAAGGGTCAGCAGGAAAAAGGGAAATTGCTATAGTTGCAGTTTGAATTTTAATCCATTTTAAACATTTCCGATACAGAGCTGTCATCTTTATCCTTCCTTTACTACTTCTTAATGTTCAGGAATTTGGAAAGTTGATGTCTTGGAAGAAACACAATACAGCACAATAAAAATTGCCGTTAGCACCTCCTATATCTCTATCTTGATAAGTTAGTTTTTAACAATAAAAAGGTAACCATTTTACAATTGTACAGTCAAAACAATTTTTTATTAAATAATCGAAGAAGATTGCAAGAACATCAACTGACAAGAAAAGCAAAAAATACAAAAATCTCAATAGAAAGTAACAAAACAAAGAGCAATGAATTAACAGAACCCACAAAAATTAGGGTGAACTCCCTCATAGAAGTCACTATTATACAGATTGGGGGGAGCCATACAGGGTTGTTGCCCCCACAGATCAAGCAGGGTAGGCTCCGTAAAAAAAACAGTCAGCTTTCTCTTCTTCTTCATTAACTCAGTAACTGGCCGCCCTAGCAGAGTGCTTGCTTACCATTTTTGACAAATGTGGTGCAGCAAGTGGCAGAGCACATTCTGTTGCTCTACCACTGCTGGTACCAAATGCTATTATTTCATAAATTTGTTGTATTGTATATTATTTTTTTATGTAAGCATTACTTTGCTGGTTTGAGGAGATCATTGTTTCCATTGTTTTGTTCCTTCTTGTTGCAGAAACCAGAACACTTCTTGATGGTATTGTACATAAACGATCTACAGATGTACAGCATGGGCTGGAAGATGGAAGTGGATTATTGCCAGAAAGTAATCCACCTCTGGCTGAATCAGACAGTCAGCAGGATAAGGGTTTCCTGAAGAGGAAAAAGAGGGCCATTTTATTTCCAAGTGGTGTAAAAGTGTGCCCTGAAGAAACATTTGACCAGGCTCTTGTCAATCATATGAAGTTTTTTAAACTTAGAGGTAAGCCACAGTGTGGAAAAAAAGCAACAGAGATGCAGAGGCTGTGGATCAAATGTCTTAAAGAAGAGTTATTAAACAAACACGTTGAATATGTTTATTATAGTTCTGCAATGGAGTAGCTGCTGTGTCAGGCAGGTTTCCAAAGCTCCAGTGTATTAGTGACAGATAGCATTAATCAGCACTATGGGGATCTTTAGGAAGATTAATACTGACGATGAACTCTGTATTAGGTGTGTCCCTGCCATGGTTAGCTACCATAAATAGCACCTGACACTGTCTAAACTAAATACTACTAATCAATATTTATGTAACTGTCATACATCGATGACAGTCACAATATGATTCATTAAATGATCTTTTTTTTGCTGACGTGTAGAATAGTGTTGTTGTTATTTAATTATGGCATTATACATGGTATGCTATCTTTCTTTCTATCTATGAATTTTTCTATCTTCTGGGAGATTTAAAGAGACCTTATTGCCAATTGTAACAACAATATACCATAAGATTATATGTGCATTTAATGTATTTTATGTATTTTATTTACCTGTAAAAGCCTCCATTGTGTAGACATGGGAAAGCCATGAGAATGCAGCTGAGTGCTGCCATCTTGTATGTGATTTCATCAGCAAACACAGAGTGACTTAGTTGACTCTCTATAGCACTGTCTGTGAATGTTCTCATTCATCTAGGTCATGGTATATCTGTAAGAATAAATGAAAACAACTGGTTGTATTTGTCTTGAAGACGTTTTGCTGGTCATCCATCTAGATTTCTCAATTCAGAATGACTTGTACAAAAATTATCTGGGAAAAAATATTGTGAATATTGTCTCTGACCCCATGCTGGTTATGTTAAACAGTTTATGTTGATTGGAGCAACATTTACCATATTTACTTCCAGACAATTTGTGTATAAGTCATTTTCTTTTGAAAAAGCTGGTTGTTAGGCAGAGTGATCTCCAACTGTATAAACAAATATACAAATATACAGGTGAAACTCGAAAAATTTGAATATCATGCAAAAGTTCATTTATTTCATTTGGAGCACTTCATGCTTTCTTCTGCAGACAAGCTCTATGGGGATGCTGACTTCATTTTCCAGCAGGACTTGGCACCTGCCCACACTGCCAAAAATTTTCTGAGATTGTGGATCTGGGTTTTCATGAGCTGTAAGCCATAATCATCACAATTATGACAAATCACGGCTTGAACTATCTTGCTTTGCATGTAATGAGTCTATCTCATATATTAGTTTCACCTTTTAAGTTGCATTAGTGAAATAAATTAACTTTTGCACGATATTCTAATTTTTCGAGTTTCACCTGTAGTCTTGGCCCCCTTAGGGAGAGAGCAGCACAGGAGCGTGTGATCAGATAAAGTTACATTTCACTGCACTGACTACCAATGAAGAAGGTGTTTAACAAACAGTGCACTGTCCACTTATTGGGTGAGTTAAAAAACACTTCCATTGACCACCAATGCAAGGGGAAATGGTTAAAAAGCAATGTGCTGACCAATATTGTGGAGATTTGTTAATACACCAATGCTAGGGTTATTTTTGAAGTGAATGGCAGCAATGCTGGGGGCTATTATTTTGATAACTGACCCCAATGCAGGGGTTTATTATTGTCTCCACTAACACCGTTGTTGTTTTTTTTTATTGTGTTCACAGACACCAATGCATAGGGTGATTATTGTGTCCACTGACACCAATGCTGGGGGGTTATTATTGTGGTCACTGACACCAATGCTGAGTCTCTTTTTTTTTTAACTGACACCAATGCCGGGGGTTATTATTGTGTCCACTGACACCAATGCTGGGGGGTTATTATTGTGGTCACTGACACCAATGCTGAGTCTCTTTTTTTTTTAACTGACACCAATGCCGGGGGTTATTATTGTGTCCACTGACACCAATGCTGAGACTTTTTACTGAAGTCTCGGTCACCAATGATAACTCCAACTTTCTTTTCCGTGTGCATTGTAGTAAGATGCTAAAAATGCAGAAATGTTCAGGTGTTGAGGTGCATTACAGACCATTGATTATGAATGGTCTGCCTAACTTGACGCAATGTACCTCAGAAATACAGCCAGGTCACCTTCCTGCCCCCAGCTTCTAATTGGACGGTGAAGAAACAGCAGAAGACTGTTTAGCTCCTCCCTCTGCTCTCTTAGTATGTTCTCTCTCCTGTCAGCATGATCTTTGTCGGTATATTTACCTGCAGTATATCCAATTGGCTCTTAACACTGCTGCTCCCTATCTCACAGTTTTGATGTACAGGGGATTACAAGATGGCTGATATCAAGACAGAGTCAGGTGTGTACACTGAGAACAGGAGTGTTAGGAAGTCAAGGGAGAAAGAAAAAAAAAAGAAATCGTTCAAAAGAAAAGGTTTCAGGAGCCTGGGGGTTGTTTAGAGGCAAAGTCACAGAAAATGGAAATACTTTATAACAAATAATCTTAATTATTTGTAAATATATGTGTAAATAAGATCCCTTCTTTCTAGGGTATGTCAGGTTGTCAGGAGTATCTCCCATGGAGATTGACAAACATGTTAATCATTATATTATGAATGTGAGCTTTTTGGTCTTACCCCGCCAATTGGCAAAATTTAATTCTGTGTAAAGGGCCATAGAGTTGTTTTTATAAATTACTTGTCAGCAGTTTAATTATTTTTTAGCCTCCTTTCCCCATTTTCAGGCTACAAATATCCAATAGTCTGTGTATACAGTGGCAGTTCAGCATGCAAAGTCTTCCACAGAAATTAGATACAACTCAATTATAAAATGAAAAATTTGCTGATGGAAAATGACAAATGTTAAAAGCAAATTTAGGCCAGCAGCTGAAACTTTAGTAATAATATAAAAAGAGGGAATGTTACCAACGCCATGACTTCTCTTTGAAGAAAGAAAAATTAAGATGTGCACTAAGATGCAGATGTAACTGAATCCAGTGAATGCATTAATCCAGTTGAGATATCTGCATTGTATGATAAAGATCTCATAGGGTTGTGGCGGTAAATGTTTGATGAACTGATAACGGCTTTATAGATTTGCCCTTTTTAAGCAAGAAATGAACTGGCACCTTCATTAATGTAATAATTTAGAAACATCCAACCCGCATTTACTATCTAGGGAAACCTTTAGTATCTTATCGATTGCATTAGGATTTTGAGTTATTAATTTACTACATAGGTTTGCTAGTTGTCCTTCTGTTGTGTTTGTTTTCCGCTTCTATTGTCGAGAGGTAGTTTATTTCCCTTAAAGCATATATCAAGGCTAAAATGTAGGTTTTGAAAAGAATGGAGTAGGGTTAATACATGGGTTTTATTGTTATCAGGGGTTCTATTAGCTTTTCCCTCAGTTACTGCCATGCTGACAACAGTTTCACCAGGCAGGAAGTGAGGCAAACATTTAATAATGTTAGGAAACATTTATTATTACCCAATTTTTTGGTAAAATATAAAAGACGGGGTCACGTTTGGTAAATAGACACCAAACATAACAAGCTTTAAAATTGCGCGCACCCGCGAAATCATAGAAAACTACCATACCCAAAATTGGCCTAGGCGACGCTTTAAAAGCTTTTGCCGCTCATCAGTTTAGTGTTATGTTTGTTAACGGGCATCACTGCCTGTTTTTAAATATCGGGCACTGTCAGGCATGTCTGAGCGGACGTCTAAAGACGCCCGCTCAGATCTAGAGAGCTCCCGGCCGGATGTTTTTTTTACAAAGGCCGGCCGGGAGGTAGTTAAGGGCCTGTGTTGATGGGCTTTGGGCTTATGTCAATGGCATCAATTTGACATCAGTTTAAGATGCTTCTGAGATCATTCAGAATTAATTGACAGTTGTGTTTGATCTGCAGTTGACCTCCTAATGACCTGCATTTGACTTGCTTCACGCAGCAGCAGCTTAGACTTGTTTGGAAGCAAACAAAAGATCTTTAACACGGGTTCTCATGCTGCCACTAAAATGCTATGAAGTAAAGAGACTCTGCACATACTGTGGAATGATAATGGTTGATAAGACCTAATATCTGACAAATTAATAATGAACACTAGTGAGGTACTTTCTGGCTTCCTCATGGGTTCTTCAAAGTGTTTACATAGCCTCATTCTTTTCAATGGTGCAGGACGCCTGGCTGCCAGCACCATGGAAACAAACTATGCTAATCAAGGAAAAGTGGGATCTATTCAGAATAGGACAGAAGTTCACTTCCATCCAGGCCTGCTTCACCTACCATCCCCTGCCATACTGCCACAGCTGCGGCTCCTAAAGTGATGGTAGAACTCTGAGGTGAAGGGGGGCTTCTTATATTAAAGCTGTTCCTAGGGCGAGAGTGGGGCTCCTGATTTGAAGGGGGGATTCTAATGCAAAGCAGGTAAACACACTTTTTTATGTTTGCGTGGGTTTCCCCCTTAAAATCTATACCAGAGCTTCTCCTGGATAAGGAGGGGCCACGTGTCTTTTTTTTGTTTTTCATTTTAGACTGTGGTGCCTCAAAATTTTGCATACCTTTAAATGACTCTGTGACTAAAAAAGGGTTGAGAAACGTTGATCTAGACTGCAACAAAATTTTGGCTCATAACAAATGTGTTTTGTGTTCAGGGGTATTATGTGCTAGTGAGAACTGTGGAAGGTATGACAGTGGGCTGTATGTACATGAGAGAAATGGGAAGGTCTGACAATCAGCAGAACAGTTAATTTTTTGACTCACAAATGGTGGTTACCGATCTTTCCATAATTAGCAACAAAATAACTGAAATATGTTATTTACATGAGGTTACGCACGTGAGCTTCAGACTAAGCACTAAGGGGTTAATGCTTACATGCTGGGGACAAGTCAGTGAGGACTTAACGCAAACACACTGCATACTCATCACTAAGGGGTTAATACACATGCTCTTACAGCAGACCATTGAGGGAAAAATGCATACACTGCACACAGTTGACTGAAGGGTTAACACTTTTAAGCTGGGGGTAGGCCACTGGTGACTA